TCGCTTTTTAGGGGGGGGAAGGAGGGCATGATGACGGAGGGGACGCGAATAAGGCCCTTCTCTCTTCTGCAGCCAGAAGTGGGGATCTCCAAGGAGGGGAAGGAGAGGAGCCCCCTCCCCCACAGTTTTCCCTGAGTCCAGCTAGTAAAAGCCAAGAGACCCATCTGGCCAAACCAACCTGGGGCTCCTGTGGGGAGGGGCCATCGGACCGTGAAGGCCGAACCCCTTTTTCCTACCACCCAAGATTTCTACCCGGCTTCCCCTTCTCTCCCGCTGGGTGGGCGCAACCGGGACCTTCAGGGAGCCAGGCATGCCTTCTACCCAACCCTGGCAGGCTGAAAGTGGGGGGTTTTGCCACCACTGCTCCTTATGGGTTTATTATTTACTGAGGCTCCTTCATATCAATTTTTACCAATCAGGCGGCACCTGAAAGCACAGAAACTCAGTGGCAGTCCCTTAGTCAGCAAATTCAAGGATAAGACTTGGTGATTTTATATCATACCAATGACAGGTGGAAATGGTTTCAGTACTCTTTAGCACAACTGCATTATCTTTGTATTCTTCCAAGGGCATGGCCACAATTGTTTAAGAAACAATGCAGTTTTGCATCAGGAAGCTTAAACCAGTTCAAATGGCGCCGGGCCAGGCCTCTCCGCCGGGGGGGGGGACCCCCTCCTCTCCCACCCGCCGCCCGCTACCTTCGCGCTTCATGCCGGTGGCCAGGCATTTCTGATAGCGGCAGTACTGGCAGCGGTTGCGCTGGCGCTTGTCCACGATGCAGTCCTTGTTGTCGCGGCAGGTGTAAGTCAGGTCTTTCCGGATGGTGCGCTTGAAAAAGCCCTTGCAGCCTTCACAGCTGTACCTTCCGGGGGGGGGGGGGAAGGGGAGGGGAGGGACGCCAGGAGGAGGAAGGCATGGACTAAGTCCCAGGACTGGCACTGCCCCCCTCCCCTCCCTCTCTCCCGCCCCCATGCCCGCCCAAGTGGGGCTGCCCTCTCCCCCCCCCACATACACACACACACACACGCACTCCTTTCGTTTTCATCCACGACTCAAAAGGGATAGGACTTTCTGGAGGGGGGAGCATTGGACAGAGACTGCCAGGATTCGCCAAAAATCCTCTCCGCCCCCCCCCCCAATTCTGCACAAAACTGGAATTTTACAAAGCAGCTTTTTGCCACCTGCCTGCACACCCTTCTCTCCAATATGGCTCTCTTTACAAAAAAAAAAAAAAAAGGAGGAGAAGGAGGAAAAAGTCCCAGGCCTTAAAGCAGGAGACGTTAGCGCTTCATGGGAGGAACCGAGGCAGAGCCCAAAGGTAAGCTCTATATGGGGGGAGCCTCCTGAAAAACTACATTTCCCATGAACCCCTGCAAATCCCACGTCACACCAAGGGAGACACACACGTAGGCAACAAAAGCTGCACGACTCTGATGTCCAGTCGCATCTTCCATTAATTCCGAATTTCTGGCGAATCCTGAGAGTCACAGCCCCCTGTCCTCTCAAAAACCCCTAAATCCCCATCCTTTTTACGGATGGTGAGCAGCTCACCCCTCACCTTACATTCACTTTTCTGAAACTATTCTTTCCTGAAATGATTGCAGTCCTGCAATATAAATATATAAATCCCCAAACCACCTGTACTTGATTTACAAAGCTTCGCTGATCTTTTGTTTTTTGGTTTTTTTTAAAAAAATAAAGACTAGCTTTGGAAAAAAAATCCAAATCAGGGCTGGAAGGAAGCACTGTCCTTTTATATATATGTCCTTTATATATATGTTAAAAACTTAAAGGTCAGGACTGCATGTTAACAACAGGGAAAGCAGTGAATTTCATCGTCAAAAATCAATCTTAGCACTAGAGATCGAACTGAAAGACAACGAACGTTAACAAATTTGTTCTGAACTGTGCCAGCAACCTCTTCCCTCTCCCATCAAATCACTGACACACACACACACCCCATTTGAAAGCAGACACCCGCTTGCTGACCTGCCCCTTCCCCTTCTTCCTGCTGCAAACCAGTTCTGCCCCTGCTTTCAAACTTCCTCTCTCTTCTCTTATTTAAAATAATTCTACCCCGCCTTTCTCCCCCCCCCAAAAAAAGACCCCAAGGGGTGACACTTTAATCCAAACTCTCCCCTCCCCACAAGCCTTTACTGCCGCTAGTGGGTACTGCCGCTGAGTGTTCAAACACTCCCCCCCCCACCAATCCACATCCAATCGGGGCTCCCCCTCCCCGGGGTCCGCACACCTGAGGACCGGTCACCACAGATGGCACAAAGGCGCTTCCCGGGCATCACGCCCCCGTGGGGGTGGCCCTGCATCACCCTCATGCCCAGCGGGGGCTTCACGTCGTCCGAGCTGCTGACCGAATGGAGGCCCGAGAGGTTCACCGTGGAGTTGATCTGTGAGGGGGGGCAGAAGGGAAGTCCCTGCAGATGGCCAGCTGAGCGACACCGGGCACAGCCCTCGCCGGCGGAAAGCACCCGTTCTGGCTCCCAGCCTGTCCCCCCCCTCCCCGGTGAGGGAAACCCGGTGGCCCAAGACGCGCACTTACCTGGGGGCTGCTGACCGGCCCGTAGCCGATGGAGGGGGTCGCAGGCATCCCCGGGGAGCCCATAGAAGAGCTGATGACTGGGAAGGGAGACCCCAGTCCGCCAATGGAGGTGGTCATGGCAGAGCCGATCATGGAAGGGTGCAGGGGGGCCGAGGGCTCCGGCGGGGGTGAGGTTCCAGTGCCCCGCAGTGGAGGAGATGAGCTGAGGGAAGAGCTGTCGGGGCTTCTGCAGTCTGGAAGGAGGGGAGGAAAGCCGGGGGGGGAGAAGAGGGGACGAGGAGGGGAGAGAAGAAAAAGGGAGGCTTAAAAGGCCTGTATCTCCGCCGCACCACACTTGAAATTCAGCTGAAGAGACGACGCCACCGCACCAGAGCAGATGGGGTGGGTACCCTCACTCACTCACTCACTCACACGCATATATACGCACACACACACGGTCACCACCCACCCAAGTGTTTCCCCAGAAAGGCTGGCAGGCAGGCGCCCTCGGCTCCCTCTCCGGATATTTTGCAACCCTGCAGGAAGCACGTGACCAGCCAATTCCTGGCCACCCCTTCTGGTCTCCTCCCAAGAAGACCCAGGAAAGGGAGAAGCCCCCTGGGAGCCTGGCGACCCCTGCCCAGTGGAACATGCATCACACCTAGAAGGATCAAGCCCCCTGAGGAGGGCTGAGGGTCGGGCGGGGGGGGGGAGCAGCTTCCCTCCCTACACCCCCCATCCCCCCCTAAGCCCTCCACGTGCCAGTGCCACGAACAGCCCCAGGGAGAGGGCAGGCACCCACTGGGCTGCTCCGTGTGGCAGCATCAGGGAGGGCAGGGGAGCCCAGCGAGGGACCGTCAGCGCCGCCGGCTTCAGTGGGCAACACAAGACACGACCAAAGGACCCACAGCGCTGAAGGGCCCCCACACACACACCTCTGCTGGACTGGAAAAGCAACACCTGAGCAGGCCAGCCCCAGACTCCACCTGGCTCAGTGGCATCTCCTCTGGCCGGCCGGGACCTTGGCAAAAGGGGGCGCCCGCCATCAGCCGCCGTCATTCACAGGGTTCGCCTGGGACCCAGCCTGGGACCTTTGGCGGTCCGCCCAGCTCTGCCCTGGGGCCCTCTTTCCCAGACTGGGTCGGGCAGAAAGGGGCCGAGACAGGACCACCCCCACCCCCAGAAAGGCTGTGACGGGCCTTTGGCGCTGCTAAGTCAGGCTCCCTCGGCCACGCATCTTCTGATGAGCGTTGCTCTAGCAGCGGCGGATAAAACACCCTGCTCCGGCCTCAGGGAGCCTCCAGGGCAGGACAGGGCAGGGCACCCTCCTGCACAACCAGGGCCCAATCCTGCTCCACTCGGTTCTCATCCTTGCCTGACCGGGGGGGGGGAGCCTCAGGAGGTGGCAGAGGACAGGGCCCCCCGAGCGGCACCGTGAGACGGGGACAGATGGTCGTGGATGGGCCCTGAACACAGAAAGGACTGGGAAAGCGGGAGGGAGGAAGCTCTGAAGCAGAAGTTCCCTGAATCAAAAGGAAGCAGCAGCAGCCGCTGGAGAAAAACCGCCAGGGTTCCCCCCCCTCTTCATGAGGTCCCACGCTGAGGGTGGGGAAGGAACCCGGTGGCCACTTCCTGCCTCAGATTCAGAGGGACCTTCCTCCTTCCGGCCTTATCTTGACAAAATCTCAGCTAGACACTCACGGCGCGCTTGCTTCCCTCTCTCTCCCTCCCGTGCAGCCGGTTTGCCGGGGACGCCTGCCTGCACCCTCCTTGTGCCTGAAAAGGGAGCTCCAGGTGCGAGGGCCCAGCCCTTCCAGAAGCCAGGCGCCTCTGCAGCCGGGCGCGGCAAAGATCCTGTGGGGCGGAGTTCCAAAGGCATGCCTTTCTCACAGGGATTAGCAGCTGTACAGCACCCGATTCAGCCAACATGTTTTGTACCCACTAACAGAGATAAGACTCCTGCCTTCCCGCATGGGCTGTAATTCTAGCATAAAACTTCCCAAACTCCGAATGTTTTATTTCTCAAAAAGGAGGCTGCCTTTTAAAGATTTAAAGTTAAAAATGGTTTAAAAGATAAATCAGACAGATATGCTTCGGGGGGGGGGGGTTCAGGGTTATAAAAAAAGTGACTACAATGTCAAATGGACCTTTTTTGAGAGTGTCAATAAACTCCCCCCCCCCAAAAAAAAATACAGGGCAGCGCAAAGCCTACTCAGCAGGAAGGACCCTCTGCCCCATCTCTGGCTACCACCCAGTACGGGACCTTTTTTGAGAGTGTCAATAAACTGCCCCCCCCAAAAAATACAGGACAGTGCAAGGCCTAGTCAAGCAGGAAGGACCCTCTCCCCATCTCTGACTACCACCCAGTATGGATCCTTCTGCCCCACTGCTAACAGGGGAGAAGAAGACACCTCACACATCTCCTTCCTACTAAATATTACCTGGTGGGGGTGGATGAACCCCTGGGCATTTCAGCAGCGGCCCTCCCCTGGAGGAGGGGGGCAGCCAGACCCCCACCCACTGCTCCCTTATTCCGTTTTTTTTTTAGCCGATTCAGTCTGTTTGACGGAGACTGATCAACTTTTTCTACAATGCTCCAAGAAAGCAGAAAGGTTTTCAATTCCAGCCTCAACCAACTAAAATATTCAGCTCATGGGCATCTTGCATGGAGCATCTCCAGGAAAGAAATCTTGTGTGGGGGACAAATCTGCCCAGAACAGATCCTTCAGGGGCCCCCAAACTCCCTTGGACTTGTTTTTTGAATACATGGGTTTATGGTGAGGGGGGTGGGTAGGAACAGAGGGGTCCCTGTGGCAGCCACAGGAAAAAAGCCACCAGGACCTCCGTGTTCACATCCCCATGTACCTAAAGCCATTTACCTGCAGCTTTTTTTCTCCAGAATTTGAATTCAAGGGGACTCTGGTGACGTATAATGACTGAAATCCCATTCAGTTTTCATGCCTCCGACTCGAACCGCACTCGGGGCTCGTAGTACGCGTTCCCTCTCTGACGGCGAGATTTATGCCCGTGGTTGTAACTTAACAGGACTTGGGGCTTTGATCCTGGGGACAGGAAACGTGAGGTCCTGATGGCCCCTTTCTGTGGCTCCCACTGAGACGTGTTCTGGACCGGGTTTTCCCCACATAAGGTTTCTTTCCTTTCCTCCAAACACTGGGACTGCTCCACACAGATTTCTGTCCATTTGCTTCTGAAATGCATGTCAATCCCAGAGGGGAGAGTCACTTTGGAGGAGGTGCCCGGGAAGTCACACCGGGAGGGCAGATGGGTGGGGAAGAAGACGCTGAAGGGAACTGCCCAGAGCAGTAGTCTCACTAAGTCAGGCGGGATCATCTTAGAATGGCAGAGCTCGAAGGGACCCGAAGGATCATCCAGCCAACCGTCCCCTCTCAAAGAGGCTTAGACGGGAATTGAACTCCTGGCCACAGACATAAGCTGCTGAGCTCTCCGGCATGCTTAGAAATAAAACAAAATAAAATGGCTAAGAGGCTAGACCACAAAAAGCCAAGGAACAAGACAGATCCCCAAACGCCTGAAACCAAAGCTACAATTTTATCTTCACAGCTCTACGAAGTTGACCTGGCAGGCCACTAGAACAAGAGTCACTCTATGATCTGCACAGAGGAGCCAAGTTCGAAACTTCGGCCACTCGGACAAAGACCATCCCGCATTCTGGCATCGTCTTCTGCAAAGCCGACTGTCCTACAGTACCAGGAGGCAGGCAGGGAAAAACCATCAGGAATCCCACTGCGGAAATCCAGTTCTGCAAAAGTCACTCTGAGGCAGTTTCCTCAAATCAAAAGCAATAAAAAGGTGGCGGCCAGCACCTTTGCCTCTCTCAGTAGAGATTTCTCCCCGCTCACTGTTTGTCCACCAAGGCCAGCATTTTTTTCAGGAATATGAACACCCTTCCGCCTCCTCTCCACCCTTTAGTACTAAAAAGGATCAAACAAACACCACACTAAAAGCTGTTAAACAAAAGCAACACCCCAAACCAAGTGGCAAAGTACAACCATCCATTTAAAAAGACCCACTCAGGCAGCCAGTCATTGTGGGAAGGCTTGCTTGAAGACAACGGTTTCGGCCTGCTTGCAGAAGGATAGCAAAGACGGGGCCAACCTGGTGTCTAGTGGGAAGGAGTTCCAGAGTCTAAAGGAGCAGCCACAGAGAAGGCTCTCTCCCAGTGTCCCCACCAAAGGCACCTGGGAAGGTGGCGGGAGCGAAAGAAAGGCCTCTCCCGGTGATCTTAACACCTGAGCCGGCTCATAGAGGGGGACATGATCCTTGGGATAGCTTGGACCCAAACTGTTTAAGGTTTTATAGGTTAGAACCAGTACAGTACTTTAAATTGTGCCCCGAAACAGACTGTCAGCCAGTGGAGCTGTTATAACAGAGGAGTGGAGGGTGTTCTGTGATACCTGTAACCACTCCTAGTTTTGGACCCGCTGAAGTTTCCTGGCACTTTCCAGAGGTAGCCAATGTAGAGAGTAGACATGGGCTACTTGTATTTATATCTCCAGGGAAACAAATACGAACCATGGCGGCCCATTCCCTCCCCCCAGCACCAGCCAGGCCATTCCTGGGTCTTCATGTGGCGCTGAGGTCCTTCGACAGTGCCAGGGTGCCAATACGTGAAGGAGCCCGGCTGGCCCTTCCCTGCCTCCCTGCGCAGCCGACCACTTCAGCAAAGAGATGGGACAGGAGGTCTCCCTGCTCAGCTGATGAATGGTTGGCTGCATGGGGAGGCGGGGAAGAGCCAGCCAGGCTTCTTCATGGATCGGTATGCTGGTGCTGTCGAAGGACGCACACACCCAGCGCCTCATGGAGACTGGTGAGTGGCCCAGCCAGTTCTGAGGGGAGAGGCCTGTGGCGCTGCAGTTCAGACACATCCAGGCTCAGAGACAAACCCAGGAGAACACCCAAGCTGCACCTCTGGGTTTTCACAGGGAGTGCCATCCCATTCAGCAGAGAGGATGCAACCGTTCAGGGCTGCCAGGGAAGAAATAAGAGACGCCAAAGCACCCAGTGGCCCTGCGGTAAACTTCTAGTGCAACAGAATGTGTCTTGAGGTGCCCTCTGGTGACACCCCTTTCCTTTTTCCTTAGGTGACAGTGCAGAAAATGAACCGACAACAATATGCGCTAAGCAGTCTGCATGCAAAAGAGGTCCCTTTAAAATGGGACAAATGGGACAGCAAGTTGCATCTTTTAAAGGAAGAAGAAGTGAAATCCTAATTTCCAAAACTACCATCCGGATTAAAGGTCGGGCACAGCCTCGGTGTTTCCGTCACTGGCAAAGGCTCTAGGATTTTCTCTCTCTTTCCATAATTGGGGTCGGGAACTATCACGACAGCTCAACCATCCTATCACGTGGCCTTCCTCACAACAAGTAGCGGCTGAGGAAAAAAGGACAAAGTTCATGTCGGGGGTCATCAGGAATCGGAAGTGAAACTGTCAGCACTCGTTACTTCCTAGGGAGGGGGGACATGGGGGCTCTGCAGATCATCTTGCACTTCAGTTCCCATTATCCCTGACCACTGGAAAGGCGGGCAGGATCTGATGATAGATCGCCATCTGATGACAGATTGGAGCCTTCTAACAGTTGCCGATTGGCAACTGGATGGCTGCCCGTGCTTTGCGGAAAAATGTATTATATGTTGTGGACCACATAAGAAATGTAGTGAACCATCTGGGGCCCTGCAAGTGGGAAAGGGTTTCTGCAAGTGCCCAGTGCAGGAAAGTTATACCATGTGGGTCTTTTTAATTGAGAAGGAGAGAGAACATGGGAGGTGTATAAAACGATGAGGTGACAGGAGAAAGCAGACAGGGAGCTTTCTTACTGTAATGGTAAATAAATAATAACAAAGCTGGCTGGATAGCTCAGTGTTTTAGGCATCTGGCTGCAGAGAGAGAGGCTGGGAGTTCGAATCCCCCACGGTGCCTCTTGTGACGAGAGCCAGCCAGTGTGGCCTTGAGCCAGCTGCAGTCGCACAGCGCCCCTAGAGGAAGGGAAGGGTAAAACCACTTCTGAGTATTCTCCACCTAGAAAATCATGAAAAGGGTAGCCATGAAGTCAGAATTGATTACTTGAAGAACAATACAAAAACCTGAGTTTGGGGAGAGTGGCCTTTTCCATTCACGGCCCACCTCTCAATTAAGGTTCCTTTTTGGCTAGCTTCTGCTGTTCCTCCCAAATAAAGGCACTCCGGAGGGAGGCAAAGACCTCACCCATTGCCCACTAGAAGTAAGGATAGATCCAAGACAGGCGGACTCAACAGAGGACTTCAGCCCTAACCTTTAAACAGAACAGGATAATCCCTCCTCCTCCAGCCTGTTCCTACAAAACATGAAAAGCAGAAAACATAGTCTCAGAGGCTGTCAACGTCTGCATACGCATGTCTCCTCAGAAGGAGAACCCATTCAGTTCAAGAGGATTTGACCCCAGGTACACCTCTGTAGGACAGCTACAGTATTTGGAAGCAATAACCTGAAAAGTCACATCACAGATCTGTATAAGGGCAGTTAGGGCAAGGGGCAGTTCTGCTTCTCATTCCTCCCGGGCAACTCCTGACCTGGATTATGCCTCCCCACCCCAAGCGACACAACATGAGTGTCTATGTGGTGCTGAGAGCTTCGGATCAGGAGCTAGAATTTTTGAAAAGAAGGTGAGAAAAGAAGGCTGGAACACTCTTGCAGCTTGCAAAGACCATGGCTGAAGGCCGGCTTGTGTATGGAAATGAGAATTCCCCACCACCACCACCACCAGCTGGAGAGCTGAGGAAAGACAGATCTAATGAGTTATTTTGGAACATGAGAGCTCTGTCTGCGTTGAGTTTATGGCTCTTTCACTGCCTCCCTCCCTCCCTGTCCATCCATCCTGACAGCTTATGCTAAACAAAACACGTGACTCTTTAAGATGCCACGTGACTCACGCACTCTCCTGCAACCGCCCCCCACACACACACACACACCACAGCAGGATGAAATCCTCTCTGTGCCCAGCCCTGAGCTTGCCATGGTTCTGTCAAATTACCACGAAGACATCACTTTCCTTTTACAAAAGCTGTCACAGAACAGCTTTTAAAAAAAGGGAAACAAAAAAAGAGGTGGGGGGGGGACTAGGTGCGGTCCCAGGGCCAGGTGGGAAAGCATCACTCTGGGAGGGGGGGCAGCAGCAGGACTACACAGACACACACACACACACACACACACAAACACACAGATAGAGATAGATGTATGTTTATAGACACACAGCTATGCGTTTCTACACCAGCTGCTCATCCTTTCCCCCAAAGTTGGCCCAACAGCACCCCCCATGGCCCCCATCCTTCTTTTGGGCCTCCCCCCCTGCAAAAAACGGCTGCCTTAAAGCCTGGGCACAGCCGCAGGATGGAAGGAAAAAGAAGCGCTTCATAGCTGTGGGCGATTCTCCTATGAGGGCCGAGGAGGAGGAGGAGGAGGAGGAAGGAGGGACCCCCCCCCCTTTCCCCCCTTCTCCCCACCACCCCCCCCC